CTCGTATAGTGAAGGGAGCCAAAAACTGTAATGGATCAAACAGCTTTGCTATACTACTCAGGACTTCTCTTTTGGTCGGGGCTTCAGTCAGCGACGGAGGGTGAACCACGAACTTGAAGATATCTTGCCGGGCATTCCACAGAACTCCCAGGGTCTTCAACGTCGGCAGGCTACCATCACTGAGCTCTAACCCGGGAAGTCGATCTTCAATAGGAACATCAGCCTGGTTTGACATCCATTTCCTCAAATTGAAGCCTGCGCCAGACACCAACTCGGATGTTTGTTGTCTAAGGGTTATGGCTCCCTGAACCGTCTCGCAAGAGTCCAGCACATCGTCCACGTACATTGCATTATCCACTGTATCTGCGGCTTTCGGGAAGTGATCTTTATTCTTCTCCGCGTGGGAGTGAAGTACATATTGTGCGCAGAATGGTGAAGAGGTATTTCCGAATGGTAGACGCTGGAACTCGTAAATTTCGGGTTCTCTTTCTTTGTTCAAATCACGCCAAAGGAAGCGATGAAAAGGTCGATCTTTCTCGGCAAGTCCGACTTGTAAGAACATCTGAGAGATATCTGCTGACACTGCCACGGGTTCTCTTCGGAACCTGGTTAACACGTCTACCAATTCTCGTTGGAGCTTGGGCCCAGGGTGAAGCGCGTCGTTTAGACATTTGTTTTTGTGCTTCGCTGCCGCATCAAAGACGATTCGAACTTTGGTCGACGTTTTCTCCTGATTGATCACCGGAAAGTGCGGCAACAACCACTGGTCACCCGTTTTCTTTGGTACTTTCTTGATGTACTTTTGGAGGTAATCCAGGATTATCTGGTTGTAGGCCATAGCGACATCCGGTTTCTTTCGTAGGGATGACTCTAGCTTCAGTAGTCTTGAATGAGCCATGTCGTAGTTGTCGGCGAAATCTGGCTCACCATCTCTCCAAGGAACACCTACTTCATATCTCCCGTTGGTGTAATTTTGGGTTGATTGCACAATTTCAACTGCCTTTTTCTCGTCTGGTGTCAGTGGTCGAACGTTCTCGTCCTTAATGCCGATGGCTTCTAGTTCCCAAAAACTCCGAAGATTGTCACTTACTTCTTGGATATCTTCGGTATGGTATGTACGTGTCATGTGGGATTGGGTAGTCCATGTCGACGGGTTCTTACTCGTTGGACCGAAGCAGACCCAACCGAGGGGCGTTTGTCGTGCTACTGGGTCTTTGGCATTGTGTCCCGTAACTTCTCTTAATACTTTATGGAATACAGGGTGATCGCTTCCGATTAAAACATCGATCTGCTTTCGCTTTGAAACTCTTTCAAATGGGATGGTCTCCAAGTGTGCCCAATTGCCCTTTAATTCGTTCCACTCAATTGCCGGCGTGTTCCCCGTTACGTTAGTTAACACATTTGCTTCCACAGGCGATGAGAAGGTTCCATTGACGGATGTGATCACACACTTTACACGTTTCGACTGTCTCTTAATCTCCGTCCCACCAGTTCCTGATATGGTCAAATCCTGTTTTTCTCCTTTCAAGTGCAACTCTCCCGCTAGGCTTTCGGTGACGTATGATCCCGTGGAGCAAGGATCCAGCATAACATTGATTTTTATCTTCTTGCCGCCAATTTCGACAGTTGCTGGGAGAACCATCAATGATATTTGTTCAACTCGGTTTGTCGTATAGGTTCTTGCATCTGTCCCTCCAATTGAAGGGTTGGTCTGATCTTTGTTGTTGTCATTATCTTCATTCTGTTTTTCCATTCTCTCAGGGTCGTGTAATAAGCTGCTATGTCCTTTACTTTCACATCCGCTGACTCCACATTTTCTCTTTCTGCCACACTGCTTACTTCGGTGACCAGCCGCTAGACAAGAGAACCACCGTCCTGTTTTAGCTATTAGTTGATTTCGTGTAGCTACAGGGAGCTTTTTAAATTCTGGACAAACCCAAGGCGGATGATCAGCGTCGCAATTCATAACGATACATTTCCTAACTTTCTTATCTGTATTAAAGCCTTGATTATGACGTCGTCCTCCATGGTACGCTTTGACGAATTCTCCCGTTTCTTCCTTAGCCTCATCCATGATGCAAACACGCCTCTCGATCCACTGGACCAGCATTTTAAAATCATCATCTTCATCCCGCTCATTCAACCAATACTTGTATTCTCTGACGTATTCCACTGGAAGTTTTTCCTTCACTGTTAAGCAAAGGTGCTGACTTCTAATTTCATCATCGCCACGATCATCGTCTTGTAATGCGATAAGAATACGGTCTAGCGTTGACAACAAGGTTTCTAATTCTTCCAGGTTATGGCGTCGTACTTTGGGTAGTGCTCTTAAGGTTGCCAAATGTGTCAGGGTCTTTCTACGTTTACCACCGTACTTGCGTTGTAACTTTTCTTTCGCTCTCTCGTACGCATGCTGAGTGAATCCAAGGTCCTTGACCGTCTCTAACGCTTTTCCTTTCAGGCAGTTCTGCAGCCGTAGCATTTTCTCCTTTACTGGCATGTTGGTCTCATCAAAAACTGATGTGAATGCCGCGTTCCACGCCTCGAAATCGGTTTTATCATCTCCAGAGAAGTTTCGCAGCTCTACGCCTTTTAGTTTCACTCGTGCATATATAAGATGGGGGTTCGGGATTAGGACGAGGTAGGCACGTTTTAAGAGGTTCCGGATCGTCCGTCACAGATGTTGCCTTTTTGCTATTCTTGCTGTATGCTTTCGCCCTTGTTTCATTTAAAAGGGCAATGGATCGTGCATCCTCGACTCTTTTTCGATTGAGTTCAACTTCATCTGCTTTCTTTCGCATTTTTTCCTCTAGAGACCTCTGCTCTTCCTCTAATTTTTCTAGTCGTTCATTAGCATCCCTTGCTTCTTGTTCTCGAACTTCAACAATTGAGTCCTCTTTCACTGACTTTGGGATCTTATCATTTGAGGAACTGGTTATGTTTGATTTCACGGATGATTTACTTGATTTTATTGTTGACGAGTCCGATTCATTTTCGCCCTTCAATAATCGCTCTCGGATATGCTCATTGGCAGCCTGGACACTAGTGTCCACTAAATCTAAAATCTCCAAGAGTTCCTGGTCTAAGTTTTCAATAACATTATCAATTTCAATCCCTTCCAATGTCTCGTCTTCACTTAATGTGACTGTCTCTTTTAATGCCTGGATTAATTTTTCAACAATGTCTCGTTCAGCAATCACTTTCTTTATTGCTCGTCTAATTTCTGTCTTAGAACTTGGGTGTCCTGTGGTAATCGCGTCAATGTGATTTCTCGCCTTAGTTAGTCTACATTTTGCTGTCTTTTTTCTGCTTTTCAAAGTCAAATATCTTGATGATTTCACGCCTACCTGAATATTAACGACCTCTTCTATATTTTGATTACTCACTTGGCCACTATCCAGTCCCGTATTTAACGTATTTTCAGCATCTTCGTCGGCCTCGGCCATAGTCGCTCGCTTCAAAGTCGAAGTTTTTCCGCCGAAATGACTCAAGAATCCTCGAATAAGATCCGGCTCGAAGGACAAATTGTTCACGAATTTGAACAGTCTTAATCAGGCAGAGGATTTTGAATCTATCCCGGTACAAAACAAGTCAAAAATATATAAAAAGAAACGGTTTATTCTTAAAACACACTATGTCGTACAAAAATGTCTTTTTCCACCACGCTTAATTATTATGCTCGCGTCCAGTTTTTGTTCGCGTCGCCCCATTCCCCCGTGCAACTTTGGGGTATGGGATTAACTATAAATTCCAAAACATATATATATATATATATATATATATATATATATATATATATATATATATATATATATATATACATATATATATATTTACGATCTTAGACGTCTAAAATTAGTGAGCTCTTAGAAATTTAATTCAATGAGAAATTTGTTTGCTTCATTGGTTTATTGTAAGCACGGGCTTGAAATCTGCACGATTAGGTAAGCATTCATTAATTTGCTTATCAAACATTACACACAAGCGAAAACATTGTCCCCATTTACACAAAAAGGACTCATATAAAAGATCCGAAACGAGATATTTTCTCGCTTGAAGCACGATGATAGCATCACGTGAGTGTATTCCTGGAGTGGTTCCAGAACCAAAACATTGCCTCGAGGCGCCATTAGGCTCTGGCGGCCTCATTAATTAAAGGCAAACACAGCCATTTCGTGAACAAAGTTAGGAATTGTATTACTACATTATAGTTTTTTGAAAGAAGAATAAAAGAAACATCCGAAGGTGATCTCACCCTTATATGTTAAAAACTCAGCGCTTTGAAGGGATGTCGAAATTGTTGAAATACGTTATACGTAGACTGAATCAGTATTTAATCGATTATATCCTTTGTTATTCTTTATGAGATTATGTTTAGGTATAAGAACTTCAGTCTTTCTTCACACAAAGAATATGTCACATATACAGTATGAGAACTAGGCTTTATAGCCACTGAGGGCATAATTACTCCGGCGTCAGCGACGGAGTTGAAAATTCGCCCCGATTTTGTTTTGCTTTTTTTTGTTTTTGTTTTTTTTTGTCGTCGCAAATGTGTAATGGCGCGAAATATACTAGCATTTAAAATGTGTATGTGACCGTATTTATCTATGGCGTCATATATCCGCCAAAATTCAACTTCGTTATTTTTATGTTGAACATTCTTTGTTTTATTAGACTTCTTGTATTCTGCATTCAAGTTTGTGTATTACATTCATCTTTGTGTTTTAAATTCATGTTTGTGTCGGTTTTACATTCAAGTTTGTATTTTGCATTCGAGTTTTCGCATTTTACATTCAAGTTTGCATTGTACATTCAAGTTTGTATTTTATCCAACCGCAATCCAATAGCTAACCGGTTTCGCGGGCGCAAGTATGGCGGGCGTGCCAGTGAACTTAATTTCCTCTATTTCGATCACTGATTTCGATTCAATGATTTCGATAGAGGTGGTATTTCGAAATGGTTAGTGCGCGCGTGTTTCTCATTGAACTGTAGGTAAAGTCATTTGTTTATAGTTCATTGGTGTGTTCTCAGAGCGCCGGTGTGTCATATAAAGAAACCAAAATTAAAATACAATAGTGAATTTTGTGTTATTCCACAGCTGAACTATGGAGGAAGTACGGTATTTACTTAATGACGTTGTTAATGCAATAGATAGATATTTGGCCTCTGGTGATGTTTGCACCGATTTTCAACTGATTATTGTAAAGTTAGATAATGTCTAACGCCCGCGCCCGCGCCCGCGAAACCGGTTAGCTATTGGATTGCGGTTGGATAAAATACAAACTTGAATGTACAATGCAAACTTGAATGTAAAATGCGAAAACTCGAATGCAAAATACAAACTTGAATGTAAAACCGACACAAACATGAATTTAAAATACAAAGATGAATGTAATACACAAACTTGAATGCAGAATACAAAAAGTCCAATAAAACAAAGAATGTTCAACATAAAATAACGAAGTTGAATTTTGGCAGATATATGACGCCATATTTATCTACGTCCCAGTCTTATCTCCCAAGAGTTGTGGTGCACAGCTTTGGCTAATTTTCCAATGCGCGATTCGATTTCGCTCGCATGATACGGCAATTCCTCCAAGAGGAACAAATAAACCGTTCTTTTCATGCTGTTCGATTAAGTTTAGATTGAATTGGGGTAAGAATATATTTAATACATGTAGATTCCGGTCCTATTTTAATAATATCGCTGCTATTTCGCCGTTTAACAAGATGATGTGGTCGTGTATGGGCGCGTTGACACGTTGCGTAGTTTGCACAGGATCGAAGATTTAATATAACTATATAACTGCGAATTCCAAAGGCGAATGTATCATGCGGTTTATTTACATTTTTGAACAATTGAACTTCTATACTGCGATGTGCTTCTGAATTTCGCGATCGAACATTTAGGTTCGCAAGGCATCTAAATGCGAATATGTATGCGAAACAATACGCGAACTGTATTGTTTATGTTTATGGCACGTGCGCCGGAGTTAACGCCAGAACGGCGTCTTGTTAACATTTAAGCAAGGCAGGCAATTAATTATCATTCAGCCCTCATGGGAAGAATCATAACAACAAATGTTGGAATCCCACAATGGCACACATGATCATATAATCAAATCAGTAGTTTATAATGTTGGTAGTACAAGGAGACTTATAGTTTGTCAAAGTCAATTTACACTAGTCAGCTATTACCTCTGATATATTTGTATTCCCTTGGTCTTCCAAATTGTATGTCCATCCATTGCGGCATGGCTCTGTCTCGTTTCCGCTATATTTTGTGTAAATCGAACAACCGTCGAACCTGTTCTTTATTATCTCGCACCACAGAGGTATAAAATCACGCAAGGTCTGATTTGCAGCTAATGTACAGTGATGTGGTGTCTTTGCCGCTAAAAATACTGCTAAAAGATGGTTACACATGACATACACTAGGTTCGTAGCGATACAAAAATACGAAAGAATATGAAATTTGCCAGGAAATTTGCCGATATTCTTGAATAATTCTTCCACTTTCTCCATTAGAACTGATTACCATATATTACTTTAAATAAAAAATATAATTTACATACTATATAAAACAAGAAGGGGCCAGATGTTTGCATTTTTGTTTGCATCAGTTTGATTTTGCGATCTGTGGTCACAGACACAGGGTTTCCACCAACCTCGTACCCAGGGTTTCCACTTTCAGGAAATTTCCTTTTTTGAGAAATTGTGGCTAAAAAATAGGTTTCAAGAATGGTTTCAAGGAAATAAAAGAATCAAGTAAATCTAAGGAAATTTTAGTAAGTCTAAGGAAATCTTAATCTTGCTTCAAGGAAAGGATATTTTTAAAATGCTAAATCAAGGATATTTTAAAGGTGCCTTGTGGTCGTGGCAACACTGCACAGAGGAGCAGGATTATAGCTCAGTGAGCAGGATCTCCTCTATTTCGACCTTGTTCGACGAACACGCATGGCATTTTTGCACGCTAAATTGAAAATTAATTTGTTGTTGAGTTAATGAGTTAATTACGTTTCGAATAATTTACACTCATAATCCTTTTATCTCTTTAAAATATTTCAAAATATTCAAAAACATGTTACAATACTGTATTGATCTGTCTTAAACTACAGTCATTTTTGTCTTTAATTAAAGTTTAAGCAATAAAATATCTTAATGGATTTTTAAAACAATAGATAGTTTGAAACATAAACATTGGTAAGTGTTTTTAAATTAAAATTTCAACATCAAACAATACTCGCCGACACGTATACATAGAATCCAAGTTTCTGAATAGAATAACATATTTAGCTAACATTGTGCACGTCCGAGGTATTTTTGGAACGATAATAACAAGCTGGATGCAAGTCTTATTATTTATCTATGAGATTTATGATATCATTTCTACCAATTTACCAGTACTTGCTCTAAAGTGGTAGTAGATCGAAGATATTTTCCCAAATCTTCAGTAGTGACAGCTACGTACTCTTCTCATAGTGTCAAGCCTGTCTTTAC